AAACTTCAACATAAAATAACTTCGTCAACAATAATCGTATCGAGATGTTTAAAAAAGCATTTTAAAGCTTGAAATCTCTACTTTTCAGATTGGTATTCCAAAAAATGATCTTACTGATATTTCGTAAAGTTACACGAACATAAACAAAAGTGCGTCAAAACCTGAAAATTTTATACGAAATTTGAGAAGTTCCACGGAGCCAAGTAAAAATTGTGCACAAATGCGGTTTACAGCTTTCGAAAGAGTGAATCTTTACCTTCAATTTGCTTTTTTGTTGAGCTCTGTACGATTTTTTTTCACCGAGTTATTCAACGTTGAAGGTAAAAAGGCCATTTTTACTTAAACGTTACATAACTCGTTGAAAAAAAATCGTACAGAGCTAAAAAAAAAAAACAAATGGAAGGTAAAGATTCGTTCTTTAGAAAGCTGTAAACTGCATTTGTGCGCAATTTTTATTTCGCTCCGTGGAACTTGGCAAATTTTGTAAAAAATTTTTAGGTTTGACACACTTTTATTTATGATTGTGCAACTTCGCGAAATATCAGTAAGACCGTTTTTTGAAGTACAGGTCTGAAAAGTAGAGATTTCAAGCTTTAAAATGCTTTTTTAAACATCTCGATACGATGATTTTTGACGAAATTATTTTATCTCAAAGTTTGCCTATTTTTCCAGGGTGGGACAAGTGATCCCTTCATTTTGTTGAGTAGTGTATCTAGCATAATTGATTGGAACCAATTTGGTTTTCCATGAAATATGTTGATATTGTTTTTTATTTAATTACGACACATATGAAAACGTTTCCAAACTTAAATATTTAAGATTATTCAGAAAAATTTTGTCCCGAATCGAATATCGAGTTCCACATTTCCGAATAGAGTTTTGGGTCTTGAATAGTTTCGGGTCCCGAAATTCGGATACCCGAACATTCGGGACCCGTCCGACCATTACCCGACCCGACCCGAGGCTCGGGTACCCGAATTTTTCGAATACCCGCACACCCCTAATTGCGTTGTATTCTGATAATAGCTCTACATTCGTAGGCGCCAATAATCAATTAGCAGATTTAAAAAGGACTGTCTTTTTAAAGAGACCACTCAAAAGCAGATACACGATTACTTACACTTAGCTGAACAGTTTATAGAATGGAAGTTTATTCCAACATATTCTCCACAGGTAGGAGATAGAGAATCTCTAGTAGAGAGAATCGCCAACTTGGTCACGTGACCAACTACGTGATTGGCTGGCGGAAATGAGCAGATTTGGGCATCTCGACGCCAATGCATTGACGCCAGAACACATGGCGGCCCCATCCTTCGTGGATATGTGCGATTAATATTACCCCGCTTTCTGAATGTATTACCGATCTCGAAGCGTTGACCCCAGGTAATTTTATTATTGGCGAGGCAATTACGGCCATTTTGGATCGCGATTTTATTCAAACATCGTCAAATCGTTTAACACGATATCAATTACTTTCGTAATTAAAACAGCATTCTTGGAATCGATGGTCGTCCGAATATATGTCGCAGCTACAGCAGTGTTTCAAACGGAAAACTTGTAAACACTTGAACCTAAAGGTAGGCACTATAGTGCTTGTTAAGGGCGAAAATACCTCTCCGATGACTTGGCCGTTAGGTCGTATCACTGCAATCCATCCAGGGTCTGATGGAATTATTCGGTTAATCTCTGTGCGTACTAAGCAAGTGATAAGCAAACGAACCTTGCCCAAAATTTGTATTCTACCATTAGAAGATGATGTAATCACTTGATTATTATGTTATTCAATTATTATTTTTGATATCCCCAGCGCGATATCGAAAATGTTATGTTTAAAATTTTGTTCTTTCGATTATGCCACGTGAACTAAATTTATTTAGGGTTTCTTTCAGATATTGTGTATTAATATATATAGTTATTTAAGTTATTGTAAAGCTCACTCCTTCCAAGAGGGGGAGAATGTTAGCAGTGCTATCCGCGTCTATCTTACCGACCCGCAACAGGCGCTGGCTACGGCCAATCAGGGGCCACTAGTTACTAGAGATTTTCTTTGTGATTAATACCTTAAGGTGGCAAGCATCTATGATAGCATATATAGGCTGTCTTCCCATAGTCCCTTTGCCAGTCAGTAAAATAATATTACTAGGGTGACGTCATCTTACTGACTGGAGAAGTGTTCCCATTCTCGCCAGTAAAAAGTGACGTCAGGATTTGTTGCGTTTCTATGCCCTACGCTTTCTACAGTTTTCGTTTCATATTACAGTTTCATTTCATATTTTTGTCATCAGTAATCTTCATTGAATAGGTAAGTAAATAATATATATTCCATGTAGCAATGTTTACTTGCAACTCTGTAATATTTCGGTACCCATGTCTTAAAATAATTGACCCCGGCGACTAAAGAGGTTAGACAACGATTTCGTTTCGGTTATTGAGATCCGATGTATTTACGAATTTTAAATTATCATCCTTATATTTAAATTAATCAAGTATTATTCGGTGATATTATAATACTACTGTAGTATTTATGCGTTATATGTCTGATGTATCAGCGCGCATTTAAAAGGGGGGGCTACATATGTGGTATATAAGAATTCACTCATACTTATTATTAGCACTTTGATCCAGCTTTGACCGTTATAGGCGTTTAATTCCTTCATTGTTTGTAGACAATTTACGGTCGGTACAAAAATTATAAAAATGGCATTGTAAGAGTCAAATAAATAAGTGTGATATTCTGAACGACTAATTAAATCGCGCGTATATTCTAAATTTTAACTATTTTGACAATACTTAAAAACTAACTTATAATATAACATTGAAAAACAGAGATATATTACATTATTACTAGTTTCGACCACAAATTCTGGTCCTCTTCAGATTCGATATTAACGTTGAAATATAAAATTGAGTAAATCTCCGGAATAACAGAAGCAGCTCCGATCTTCTTGACCTTGACATATGTTATCAAGGTCATGACCCTGAGTAACTTTGCCTTAACAACTAGCCGTCGCTCGCCCTTCGTTAAAAAGATATTAACAAAAAAAGTTTCAAAAATAACGTCCTATTTCTGCTATATATACACTATATATTAAATACTATTCTACATAGGTTTTGACCTTCCACGCGAAGCGACTTTCACCCCCCCCCCTCCCCCCAGCTCTTGCAAAGGGGCGTACGACTTCCATGATTGTACCGTTGCTATGATAGTACTGTCGGGGCAGACCTCTGACGACGGTGTGGGTGCGGGGGGGAGGGGCCGAAGGCCACCCCTTCACACCGTCGACAGAGATCTGCCCCGATAGTACTATCATAACAACAGTATAATTGTAGAAGTCATGTACCCCTGTGCAGGGGGGGGGGGGGATAAAAGTTACTTCGCGTGGAAAGTTTATGAACAGGGAAAGGTGTAGAATAGTACTTCATATCATGCATGTATAGCATACATGTATATAATTATAGAAGTCGTATGTGTAGATATAGTAGGTTCCGCCCCCCTGCGGGGGGCTCCACAATTGTTAAAAATAACCTAACCCAACCCATTCAGTGATGTGAGATAGCTGTCGTTTCGCGTAGAAAGTCGAAACCCACGTGCAACAGTACAATCATGGAAATGTTTCCGCATAGAAAGTCACATGCCTGTACTGTTGCACGTGGGTTTCGACTTTCTACGCGAAGCAAGAGCTACTCACATCACTGAATGGGTTAGGTTAGGTTATTTTTAACAGTCGTGGAGCCCCCCGCAGGGGGGCGGAACTTACTGTATCTATACATACGACTTTTATAATTGTACTGTTGCACGTGGGTTTCGACTTTTTACGCGAAACGAGAGCTATATAATAATGTTGAATAAAGTATAATTATATACCTAATAAAAATTATATGAAAAAGTAACGCTTTCAAATAAAATTTTTGTTTTTAAAGTAGAAAATCCATTGTCAAGCAGAAAATTTTTGTTCTATGTCATAGAAAAGAAATGTTATTTTTTCAAACTTTTTTTGTTAATATATTTTTAACGAAGGGCGAGCGACGGCTAGTTGTTAAGGCAAAGTTACTCAGGGCCGCGACCTTGACAACATATGTCAAGGTCGAGAAGATCGGAGCTGCTTCTGTTATTCCGGAGATTTACCAGAGATTACATGACTATGGATTTTAATGAACATATAATATTAAAACAACTATGATTTATAGAATTAAAAGTTATAGATATTTGCATCAAGACTTATAATTCTGAATTCTAAAAAATAATTAGTTAACAATGTGCAAACATACCAAAAGATTTATACCTCAATTTGAAAATTTTAGTTGATCCGTATAAGTAGAGTATATAGGCC